GGGAAAATATCATTGTGATGGAGGATTTGTCTTCTGAAAATCAGCAAATAAGTATTCATGTGAAGCAAAGCGAAGGAAATGTGAGTTTAATTTATTTTTTTTTCGCAGCGTCATTCGGATAACCTGAGCCGAATTTTGTTATTTTGTTCGGAAATGTACTACCGAAATAATTATGTATTTTCGGAAGTTGATGTCCGAAAAAAGTGATAAATTTCGGAAGTTGTTGTCCAAAAAATGTATACAAATTCGGAAGTTGTTGTTCGAACAAAGTTAACTTGTACAACATTCAACTTCCGAAATTTGAAAAAAAATTCGGACAACTACTTCCGAATGAAGTAAATTTTTTTTTTTCCATTTTATATTCCAAATTTGCAAACTACATACCAAATTTACAGTTTCAAATTGCAAATTAATCTTTATAATGCCATTAAAAATTTGTAATGTTATACAAAACATGCAGGAATATGTGTCAACTCAAGGAAGTCAGGTTTGCGCGGATTTTGTGTTAGATTACACCACTCATTTCACAACTGAACAGGTTCAGTCTACGAAATTATAACGATTATGTTTTGAATTGCTCACCACATGTAAATGTTTGATAATATTTATTTAACTTTGTAGGTATTCAAAAGTAAGGATGAATTGCTCAACTGGGTACGTGAAGTTGGAAAGAGAAATGGTTTGGTCATTGTAATCGAAACATCAGACTATGGTGGAGGGAAAAAAAGACCCAGGATGTATCTTGCTTGTGAGAGGAGTGGCCAATATAGAGCAACAAAGAAGTTAAAACATGATGGCAACAATACATCAAGAATAACCGGTACGAAGAAGTGTGGTTGTCCTTTTGATATGAGGGCTCATAGGTTTACCACATATGATGAATGGACATTGACTGTAGTATGCGGATTGCATAATCATCCACCTGCAGAGCACCTCAAGGGATATTCATATGCGGGGAGGCTATCAAAGGATGAGAAAGCATTGTTAATGGATATGTCAAATAGCATGGTTCGGCCAAAACAAATCCTAGTAACCTTGAAACAGCGAGATGCCCTCAATGTAAGCACACTTAAAACCATTTACAATGTACGCCATCGAAATAGGGTGGTACAGAGAGCTGGAATATCACAGATGCAACACTTATTGGGTGAATTGGCCAAGTATAATTACATTGAGCGCCATCGGTCTGAAGAGTCCACGATGACTGTGACAAACTTGTTTTGGGCACATCCTACCAGTTTGGACTTATTTCAGTCTTTCCCACGTATATTAATTATGGATTGCATGTGGGAGTGACATCAACTGAAATGACATTCTCTGTAGCTTTTGCATACTTACAGTATGAGAGGGTCGATAACTATGCGTGGGTGTTAGCCACATTACGTGATGTCATGGATGGGTTTGTTGTGCCAACAGTAATTGTTACTGACAGAGAGCTAGCCTTGATGAATGCCATACAGAAGATATTCCCGAGTGCCAGACATTTATTATGTCGTTGGCATATCAGTAAGAATGTGTTGACCAAATGCAAGAAAATGTTTGAGACACAGCAAAAATGGGAGAAGTTCAACCATGAGTGGAACTCTGTAGTGTATTCATCTTCTGAAATTCAATACGAGGAGCGTCTTAAATCATTACTTAAGGAATTCAGTAGTTATCCTGATGCAGTCAAATATGTCATGGATACTTGGTTGGTTCCTTACAAGGACAAATTTGTGGCGGCATGGACAGACACGTGTATGCATTGTGGCAATGTTACAACGAACCGGTAAGATTACTTTTTTTCAATATGTTATTAATATGTGCCATGTACTTGATTTTAACTTGACTTACATTTAATTGAACAGGGCTGAGAGTGCACATGCAAAACTTAAAAGACAATTGGGTTCATGTCAAGTCTCATTTCAGGCATCATTTGAGAAAATACACAGTCTGCTTGAGTTGCAACACACTGATATCAAGGCTTCATTTGAGAAAAGTCTAACTGTTGTGCAACATCAATTTAAACCTTCTCAATTCAGGGAGCTACGGGGGAATGTATCTATCTCTGCATTGGAGTATTTGCTTGTCGAGAGTAAGAGAGCCAATTCCATTGGTATTGATGTTGAAGCTTGTGGATGCGTCCTTTGCCACACTCATGGTTTACCTTGCGGCCATGAGATTGCTGACTACATCAGACAAGATCGTCCTATACCACTTGCTACCATACACTCACAGTGGAGGCAACTTCATATCTCCATATGCAAGAAAGAAGAGGAAACAGAGGTGACTTGTCATGCAGAAGTAGAGTTGTTTGTCAACAAGTTTAATGAAAGTGATAGAACCATGCGATTGGAGCTTTTGAAGAAGTTGAAAGAGATTGTATATCCGGAAAGCACTTTTCTTGTTGAGCCGGAGGTGAAGCCCAAAACACGTCCTCGGGATCATATGAAGATCAATGTTTCTACCCGTCGTGACCCGTGTGCATTTGAGTTAGTGCAATCTGGACATGATTCCTTCTCATCTAGGGACACTCAAATCACTACATTAGCTTCTACTCTGCAAATCAAGACGAAGCGACCTGTTAAGGGAAATGAGAAGGTGAACCCGAAAGAGAAGGCATACATTACTAGAACAGTGAAACCTAGTGCATATGTTGATGCTTTCCCTATTGGGTTAAAACCATACATTAAGTTTGTCAAGGATGTAGCTGCAGATGGGAATTGTGGTTTCAGGGCTATAGCTGCTTCAATTGGTCATACAGAAGATGATTGGGCTCAGGTTAGGCGTGACCTATTGGGTGAGCTGCACACACACAAAGAGGAATACATTACACTTTATGGGTCCTATGAAAGGTTTGAAGAATTGACAAGCATATTGTCATACTTTGAAGACAGTCCTGGATACTCACATTGGATGACTATGCCAGACATGGGGCATCTTGTTGTATCGTGCTACAATCTTGTGTTATACCACTTGTCTTTACCGCAATGTCTCACCTTTTTACCTCTTAGAACCGTGCCAGTACCTCAACTTGATAGACGTGAGATTGCCATTGGGTTTGTCAACGGAAATCATTTCGTCAAATTAAAACAGAAACTTATCAATTGGGTTTGTGCATGTACAAGAAG